GTTTTTGTTAATTGTTATACAAAATGATTATCAAAAATCATCATCATTTAATATTACTTTAAACTGTATAAATGCTTCGATCACGTGATATTACACAATTAAATTGGCCAGCCAATCATGCAAATGTCCATTATGCTATTAATAATGGTATTTGTGAATAAGGTAATTTTCAAATTAATTTATTAACACAATTTTTTTAACATTAGACAGTTACATTGCTTGTGTATATTACAATTACCAATAACTGCAAAAGAAAATTGCAATGAATGTTAGGACTTAGTTTTAATACGATATGTTATCAATGTGTAGATGCAAGTTTTATCAAGATCAAGAGCTTTATTGCTTCTATTTACGGTTTTATTCTCATTTATGTTTTTGTATTGGATTTTTGTCAAAAGACTTTCAATTTCAGTTGTTGAATATCACTATTGGAATTTGTTCATCAATTTCAATGGCGTTGCACGCTATTGTTATTAAAAAGAGTTTAAACGTGGTAATATTAAACTTGGTTTATTATAATAATGTTTTGAGTGCTATTGCATTTATTTTTGTTCCAAGAACAAAATCGCATCATTACAAAAATTTAACGCCACGTGATATTATTTATCACATGTTAACAACATTCTGTAAAATTTGGCATTGTACGGAAAATTTTTTAGCCGATGCACAGAATAGTAAGTTAGTACGACCTAAATAGAAAAACAGCGTTCTTTTTCTATTATGCCCCCATAAAATACTTTTCAGACCAGATCCGCAGTTATGAGCTCTACGGGTTTCACTTAATACTCTCGTTGCTGTATCCTACGATGACCGACATCGTTGGCATTATTGATAGGGTCATTTTATTGGGCCAGCAAATTGCTGAGCGATTGGAAGCGTATAAAGAGGCTGTCGAGAGTCTCTCAAAGTTGGAAAAAATTTTAGAAATGCTCAAAGCTATGTTCAAAAACATTGTTACCGCCAGTATTGATAAGGCCTATATTGTCAGTATCAAGGACACCCTTGAACGAACCGAAAAGGTTTATATAAAGTGTGTTGGGGACCTTACCATAAAAGACAAAAAGTCTTTCACTGGAAAGGTCAAGAAAGTCGTTGGAATATATAAAGCCCCCAGTATTCTAGCTGACATCCAAAAGTCCATCATGGACGTTGAAACCCATCTTAACATCACAGATACTGCTTTGAGTATCGCACAACGCGCTCAGACTGTATCCGCATCAACAATCGTTTCAACAACTACCTCAACATCAACTTTAACAACCGCTTCTACAAACATCATTAGTTCGGAATTGAAAGATGCCCTTGCCAATACAATTGATGAATTAGTGACAAGGCTTAAAAGCGATTGTCAGCAGCTTCAAGAAAAACTCGAACGTTGTACACTTTCCACCGAACCTTTTTTTTTTGAAAGGTTTTCAAGAGATAATCCTGAGGCGATTTCATTTTGGAAGGAACGTTTCAGGTCTGCTGAGCTCACCATATCATCTGTTGCCCCTTACGAGGTAAGTTATTCTTTACTAATTAGCTTTTGAAAGTCTGATGCTTATAAAATATTTCGATCTTTGAATGTAGAATATGTACGTCTCATGGGCTCGATTTATTCATGAACTCGAGGTAACCTTTGAGCTGAGGAATATTCCAACCGCAACCAAGGAGGATTACTTCGGTTCCATCGATGACATCCGCCGGTATGGTAACAGATATTACATCGATTCAAATGGGACGCGCAATCTTAAAGACATTCGACCACTATGGATTCCATCCTTGCGAAAAGCATTGGATCCACTTCATAAAGGTTACATTAAACCACATGATTATTTGAATTTCCTTGGTAAAGATTCGTTGTCCAACAAATTGAGGCAAGTCGTTCTCGATAGCTGTGGATACGGTATT